AATTTTATAAAGCTATTAATAGAATTTAATTTAATTTTTAAAAAAATTATTAATTTTATAAATAATATTTTTACCCTATGAGATTCAACACTAAATAAAATCCAATCATCTTCTAATGATACAATAAATATTCCATTATGTAATTCTATTTTTAATTCATAATCAGAAAATAAAATTAATGGTAAAATTGGTACCATTGATACTTCTTTAATAAATATTTTACTTGTTTTAACTTTTTCCTGAAATACTAAATATGGACTAGGAAAATAACCAACATGAAAGTTGACAGAAGATGGATGGATACTGACAAAACCATCATTTTTAGTTTGGAATCTTAATTCCTCAGGTTTTGGTTGTATTGGAATTGCTCCAGCAGATTGAATTTGAAAAGATTTTTCTGGTGTAAAAACTTTTACCACATTAGGATATAGAGCTGCACAGAGTAAACCTTGAAGAAGTTTATAATTATCATTATTGATATTAAGTTCAAATCCAGTAATTTCCACAATCTTATCAACATTTGGCTGTCGTTTGGGCAAATTAATAGGAACAAATCCAATTGAAACCAATAATTCTAATAATTGATATTTTATATCTGCCAAAGTACATAGTGTACGCATAGATAGATAGTTTTCATTTGCGAAAGCTTGACCTGCATTACTGTTGCGTGTATATGCTTCTAACCATTTCTGTCAAGAGAAATATATAAATTATAATAATAATTATAAAATTATATATTATATATTATATTATATTATAATATTTATGTTTACATGTTTACCTTATATGCTTTAAGAATAGTTAATTGATCAGAATTAGCCGTAAAAAATTCTTTTTTTGCATCAATTTCATGTCTTTTTTCAAAAGGAATAGTAAACGGATTTTTATGAGATAAACAAGCTGCAATGGTGAGTGCAGAATCAAGACAACAAAAGATTGCTCCAAACAATATTAATTTTCCAATTCGTACATTTACAGGCAGTGTAGCAAGATGATGGCCTAATGGTGTTAATGTACATTCAGAATTAAATGCTCCAACATCTTGTAAACGTTTAATTGCACTATTAATATTTTCTTCTGTTGGTGCTTCTAACATTTTACCTAAATAAACATTATAATATAAGTGCTACAAAATTAATTAAAAATATAAAATTAAATAAATTATTATTACTCAAAATTTTATGTAAATCAATCTTTTTTCCTGTATGTAAAAGTTGTATACGTAGTAACAATGGTTCTAAAGAAATTCGTAATATTTCAGGTACTGGTTGTGCTGTGAAATGATATTTAAATCTGAAAAATATAAAAAATTAAATAAATATTAATAAATATTTTATTAATATAAAAATGATTTATTAATTAAATAATTAAAAAAATAATTATATATACTTGTATGAAGTATATAAATGAATACATATTCCAGACATTACACGTCCAGCACGACCTTTTCTTTGTAATGCATTTGCACGTGATACCCAACATGTTTCTAAACTTTCCATGTTTTGATTTGAATTAAATCTAGTTTCTTTCATTTTGCCACTATCAATTACAAAAACACAATCATCAATAGTGATGGAAGTTTCAGCTAAATTTGTGCTTAATACAATTTTTCTGACATTTTTACTTTTCTTAAAAACTAAGTTTTGTTCTTCATTTGATAAAGATGAATGCAATGGTATAATGATAAATTTTCCAGTCTTTGGTGAGAGAAATTTATTGTCATTCAATCGATCTTTTAATGCAATAATTTCAGCAAATCCAGGTAAAAATATCTATAAATGCAATATTTTGAAAAAAGAACGATTATTATTATTATTTTACTAAATTTACTTACTAAAATGGAGCCTGTTTTAGGATAATTATGTTCACCAAAAGTAATCCATTCTAATATTGTCTCTATAAGTTCAAAATTAATTTTATCATAATCCATAACATATAAATTTTTATGTGTTTGCTTATTATAAGCCTGATATCTACTGACAAGTTGCGTTAGTGATAAATTTTCATCTTCAATAGATTCCTTAGGTGTAGGAGCAGAAAGGCCTTCAATCTCTGCAGTTTCTAAATCAATTTGTAATTGCACCCAATCACCTTTAATTTTTCGTGTAAATCTCGAATTTTCTTCAAGAACATAATTTGTTTTCTCAAAAATATCTTCTAAAAAAATTCGTTCTACAGGAAATGTTTTTCCTGGAATGCATAAAACAGGAGCTCCTTTAAAATATGAGGAAAATGCCTCACTTTTAAGTGTTGCACTCATAAGTATTATTTTTAAATTTGATCTTTTATGTAATAACTCTTTTAAGAGCATTAATAAGAAGTCACTAAAAAAAATTAAAATAATTATATTAAAATAAACAAATTTATATGATAAGTAACTTACCTTTCTGCACTTCTTTCATGGACTTCATCTACAATAATATGTGTAATATCTGTTAATTCTGGATTCATAGAAAATCTTTGCAATAAAATTCCAGTTGTACAAAATGTTAATCTAGTTCTATTAGAAATTTTACTTTCTAATCGTATTTGATATCCTACTATATCACCTATACATTCATTTCTTTCTGTTGCAACTCTTTCTGCTACTCCTACTGCACTTATTCTTCGAGGTTGTGTACATATTATATTAACATGTTCTTTGGATTTGGACCTATTACAAATCCAATCATCTAATAAAAATTGTGGTACCTAAAAAATATTTTCAATTAATATTATTTTATAAGTTACTTTATTAGTATATATTTACTTTATTATAAATTCAAATTTATTATTTTTATTAATTGAATAAAAAAATTTAATTACCTGTGTACTTTTGCCACATCCTGTTTCACCTGAAATTATAGTAACTTGATTTTTATGTATTAGTTCTAAAATTTCATCCATTTTTGTCCATGCTGGCAACGTTTCTCTAATTTCTTTCATTTTTTTATATCTAGAATTGGTTTGTTTCTCTTTGAAATTTTTTTCAATTAGATTATCTTCTTTTAATATTTCTTCCCAGCTAATATTATTTCTATTTTTTCTATGAATAGATCCTAATTCATAATGTGTAGCTATATTTGTTTCATCTTCATTTTCTAATTGCTTTTGAAATAGTAATTCATTTTGATCTATAAATTGTTTTTTATTTTCTTCTAAATATTCTTTTATTTCATATTCATTTTCCAAAAGAGATATTATTGAAAAAATAGAAGGTGTTCCATCTGCAGATATTAGTAATGCTTCATCATACAATCTTTTTCCTATTCTTAAACAATTTATACTTGGAAATATACCATCATTTTTATAAAAATAAAAATAAGGTGGTTCATAAGGATATTTACAACCTAAAGAAATATTTAAAATAATTAAATATAGTAAAATATATATAATAATATTATAGTAATATATACATATATTATATTTACCTTCAGGAAATCTTATTTCTAAAGTAAAATATGGATCTTCTCTTTCAGGCATTTTTATTATTTGTGGTTGTTGGTGTAAAAATCTACATTTATTTCCAAATCTACATTTTTTATGAATAAATAATCTGCAAATTTCTTTTTCTTTTTCTTTCTCTTGTTTTTGTTTAATTTTTTCAATCTTTTCTTCTATTTCATCATTTCTTACTAAATAATCTAATTTAACATGTACAATCCAAATTTGATTTTTTATTTTTTCAGTAAACATGTTCCCATAAATAGATTCAAGTGCTTCTCTTTCTTCATTTCTTTTTTCTAACAATTCTATTGTCCCAATATCATCAGGTATTTTATTTTTTGCTATATTTTCCAATTCATAATATTTATAAAATAATACTTCCAAAGCTTTTCCTACATCACCTTCTGTATGTATTAATGCTTCCATACAATGTGAATGATGAAAGCTAAAAAAAATATAAATACTTATTTATAAATATTTATTATTTAAACTTAAAATTTAACTAACTCACCCATAACTTTTAAGTTTAGATGTTGCAAATTGTCTACTAATTTGTTCTTCAGTTTTAGGTTTATTATTTTTAGAAGAATAATCAACTATTCCTTTGATAATTAAATTTCCTCTTTCCATCCAATATTGTTTGCCTAAATTGGATCTTTTATTTTCAAATTCTGATGCATCAGAAAGTTTAAAACTCTATCAAAAAACTATATTAATTCCTAATAATAATATATTTTACAAAAAATATTTATATACAAAATCATAAATTAATAAAAATGTTTAAATACGTACAGAACCATAAATATGTTTTAAAGTATCATATAATTGTTGTTCAGATTCTTCTGATATTCTTAAGGTTTGTAATTCTACTTTAAGTTTGCTTGAAATATGTGGGTTATTATTTTTATTTTTATTTTTTGCTGAGACGTTTCTATAAAATAATTTTTACAATTTAAAAAATAATTTTAAAAATAAAAATAATATTTTTTATCGATCTTTTTAATGATCAAGTTGTTTTTTATGTATAAAAAAATATACTTTTTAATGATATATTCTGAATCTATTATATTATTTTATTATAATATACAAAAGGTTAAATTGTTTACTTACGTGTTATTTCTTTTTACATGTCTTTCTTCTAATATAACATCGTTCATTAATTCAATGTCAGTATGATTCATTTTTAAATTTATAAATAATTTCGTTTATTATAGAAAATAATTCTATAAATACTTTTAATTATATTTTAATACTTGAGAAAAATTAAGGTTAAGAAATGGATGTATATTAGTGACAAATTAAAATGTATATATGGATGAATTTGTATGCTTGTTATGTATTACTAATAGTTTTATTACCAACAATGCATTGTGTAATTTTATTTCATTTTATTTTATTTAATTATTTATAAGATAGATTTTATTTTATTATTTGTAGGATATAAAAATTAAATTATTTAAAATTTAGAATACATTTTAAAAATAATTTTAATTTTTATAAATACATTTTTTTTGTAACAAATATTATTATATGAAAAAAATAAATTTATTTATTATATGTATTATTTAAATGATTCATAATTTATTTTCAATTTGATAAATAATTGCTTTATTATAACCACACAGTAATAAAAAATTTCCTTGAGGATGCCATCGTGCATCTAATATTGTAATATTTCGTGGACTTGATATACAATTTGCATTATGTGGTGTCCATTCAAATATATGTACACATTCACAAAATACTAAAAGATGAGCGCGTGTAGGATTCCATTTTGCAGCTAATTAAAAAGTTTCAATATTTTATTTAATTTATTATTTTGTAGGAAATTATATTATCAAAAATATATAAATAAATACTTACCTACAATAGCATTTTCAAGAAGCAAATAATCTAGATAATCATCGATAATATTCCATATCCACAATGTTGTAGGATAAAGTTGATGTTTTATTGCTAAATATTGTCCACATGAACTAAATTCTAAAATATCAAATTTAGCTATTGATAATCTTTCGATATTATTCTTTCTTCCAATTTTTATATTTATTGGTCGCTCTGATTTTTCTTCCACTAGAAATATCGATTTTTTTAAATATCAGTTATATTTATATAATTTTTTTTTAAATTACTTACAAATATATTTATTATAATAGTTTGTATTTTTATTTGAAAAATTTAATTGAATTATACGTTCTTCATATACTTTGTTCAAATAATTTTCTTTTATTATCGGTTCAAGGTATAAATGTAAAAGTGGTTTCCATGTCACATGATTTAATAATACAATCTAAAAAATATATATATCTTTACTAAAATATTGCTAAAAAAGATTATATATATAAGATTATATATATAATAATAATAAAAATGCAATTTAATAAAAAATTTAATATACTAAAATATATGAAATTACCATTTCATTAAATCCCGTTATAGCTAATAGCTGTCCACTGGGCATCCAAGTTACATTCTCGATTCCTTTTAAGTTTTCAAATTGAGCAGGATAGAATACAGCAATATCTCTTTCAAATATAGTTGAATAAATAATTAATTTTGTTTCATCGCTAAAGGATGACCATATACACAATAATTCGCTATTGGGAGACCAACATATACCATCAATACTATTTAAATGTCCACATATTAATTTCTAAAATTTACAATTAACAATATTAAATATTATTATAAACTATAAAATATTATTATAAATCTAAGTAGTAAATTATGTTATATATATATATTTATGATCAAAGAAAATTTTCAAATTTTAAATTTCCCGCGTATTTTTTTAATTCTATCTATACATTCATCTTATTATAATAAAGATCGCATGTATAACGTGGTTGCATTAAGGTTAAATTAACATTTGATTATTAAAGTGTTTATTACCAATTATTTAAAAATAAATTATGACAACTTATATATCATGTGCTTGTAATCGAGTTCCACATTCAGTTGATTGGGGAAAGAATGGACTTATTTGTTTCGCAGCATGTCATGCAGTTGCAATTTATGATCCATATATTTCAAAAATTGGAAAAATAACAAATACACTTCATCAACACAAAGATCGAGTTAATACTGTTCGATGGATTAAACGAAGAAATTCGAAATTTGAATCAGAATTATTATCAAGTTCAGTAGATGGAACAGTCATTATTTGGAGTAAAAAAAATAATTTCTTTAATTGTAGCAGTATCATAGAAGTTAAAAATATTGTCACATTTAGTAACTGTATATATATTTATGATCAAGATTTTTTAAGTGAAGAAATATTTTCTAAATTATTAATATGTACTGGATCTGTTGAAGGAGATTTAAAAATATGGTTTAGAGATACACACAATAATGTAAAATGTCTACAGACACTTACATTTAATAGAAAATTACCAATAGAAGCTTCTTTTTCTTTTCTGCCAAATACAGATTTACCTCTTTTAGCTATTGGATTAGAAAATTCAACAATTGAATTATATATAACCAATTTTAATACTATAGAAAAATTATATTTTATAAAAGTTCAAGTTTTGATAGGACATGAAGATTGGGTACGATGTATGGACTTTAATTATAATATAAGTGATAGTATTTTGCTTGCAAGTGGATCTCAAGATGCCATGATACGACTTTGGAAAATTTCTGCAAGTAATACAGAAGAATTAAATAATGAATTACATCAAAAGAAACAAATATTCATTGTCAATGGCTCAAAGTATCATATTACTTTAGAATCTGTTCTTTATGGCCATGAGGGCTGGGTTTATGGTATACATTGGTATCCATTGGATAGTAAGAATAAAATTTTAAGATTATTATCCTGTTCATTAGATAAATCTATGATTATATGGGAACCAGATGAAATAACTGGTATTTGGTCTGAAAAAGTAAGAGTAGGTGAAGTTGGTGGTAATTCAATGGGTTTTTATGGTTGTAAATTTAGTGGTAATGGATTAAATATATTAGCACATGGTTATCAAGGATCATTTCACATTTGGGAATATTCAAATATTATAAAAAATTGGATTCCAAAATCTGTACCAAGTGGACACTTTGCTGAAGTAGTTGATCTTTGTTGGGATTCAAATGGAAGGTTTGTATTCAAAATTATTATACATATATATATAATATTTTAATGACATATATCATATATTAAATAAAAATATTATGTTATATTATAGGTTTCTCATTACTACAAGTATGGATCAAACAACAAGAATTCATGCATTTTGGAAAAGTGAAATAGAATTTTGGCATGAAATTGGACGTCCACAAATTCATGGATATAATATGTCTTGTTTAGCTATGTTAACTCCTTACATGTTTGCTTCAGGAGCAGAAGAAAAAGTTGTACGTATATTTGTAGCACCAGCAATATTTAAAAATTGTTTAATAAAACTTGTTAATGTTGATGATTTTAAAAATATGATGGCCGATAGTGCATCAGTACCTGCTCTTGGATTAACAAATAAAGCAACATTTAATAATAATATTACAATTGAAAATAATACAGTTAATGACTTTAAAAGTGAGGATTATATTCCTCCAACAGAAGAAGAATTAATTCAAAATACATTATGGCCAGAATTACAAAAACTTTATGGTCATGGATATGAAATATTTTCTATAGCTGCCAGACATGATGGGATATTATTGGCAACTGCATGTAAATCATCATCACAAGAACATTCTGCAATATTATTATGGAATACAAATACATGGACTCAAGTTCAGAAACTTATGTCTCACCAATTAACTGTGACACAAATGGAATTTTCTCCTAATGATAAATATCTATTATCTGTTTCTAGAGACAGAAAATGGTCTTTGTTTGAATTTAAAGATGATATATATATCTTAATTGCAGTTAGTTTGAAGAAAGATAATCTTCATACTCGTATAATATGGTGTTGTTCATGGATGCATGATTCATCTTACTTTGCAACTGGTTCTAGAGATGGAAAAATTGGAATTTGGAATGTAAAATTTTCAGATGATAAAATTATTCCAATTACTAGTTTGGATGTAAAAAATTCAGTTACAGCACTTGCATTTTCATTACAAAATATTCAAGATTTTCATATCTTAGCTATAGGATTTGAAACTGGATGTATAGAAATACAAAAATTGAAAATTATTGCCAATAATTTTAAATGGGAAAAGTATGTAATATATGATTCTTCTCAAGCACATCATTTAACTGTTAAAAGACTTAAATTTCGACCTCAAAAAAAATATTCAAATACTTTACAATTAGCAAGTTGTGGATCTGATCATATTGTTAAAATACATGATATAAATGTTTTTAAATAAACAAATTTGTAAAATATTTTTTATTTTTTTATAATAAAATTTTAATATTAATAATAAAATTTAAAAATATGCAGGTATTTAAAAAATTAATTTAAAAAATTTAATCAAAAAATTCAGAAGAAATTGGACATAACTTCAATTTTTATATATTATGATTTTATATTTATATATAAATTTTTATATATTATGATTGATTCTAAAAGTTTTAGAAATATTAAAAAACAAATTTTTCTATTTCCAAAAATTCAATCTAAGATTGCTTCCATAAGTCTTTATTAAAGTCATTATATACATATTTAAATTGAATCACTTACCTTATTTAATTTCCATGTATCAGTTTTATAAATTTCTATATTATCTTTACTTTCAATTGAAACTACTACAGCTAATTTATTACCATTTGGACTAAAATATAATTTATGAAAAAAAGATTTCACATTTTGTATATGAATTACACTTTGATTTTCCAGAGACCATATTGATATTTGAATCTGAGCATTTTAATAATTTTAATATATTAAAATTTATCATATAAAATAAATTTATTACTTACATTAAAATCTGATAATGTCAATATGTATTTACTATCAGGAGACCAATTAACACTTTCTAAACCAGCACTGCCTTCAATTAATTTATATTTCCATTCAGGATAATGAATGGAATATACTTGAATAATAGCTTTTTTTATATTTGCACATAGAATATATTCACTATTTCTTGACCATTCTAAATACTATGATAGAATGAAAAACAAACGTTGATATTATAAAATATTTTACTTTTTTTTTTTAGAATTATTATTTCGTTATTAAGAAGAAATTTTTAATAAAAGTTTAATAAAAATTATTTATTATTTATTAAATCATATATACTAACCTCAATTATATCTGGAAATACAAATGAATGAATGGTATCAAATTTTTTATTATTCTTTATAGTTAAATTTGATTGATATGCAGTTGCAAAAAATGTTCCATCTTTAGAAAAATCACACAATTGATTATTTATTCGTATTATATCATTTTCTAGTTCTAATGACATTGTTATTGTTAATTCAAAAAATATATTATTGTGTATAATATATATATATACAGAAAAATTCTCTATCTTTTATATAAAAAAATAACAGTTGATCATAGTTGCCGGATGAGCGCGGTAATTCTTTTTTATTAGGACTTTATTTTCTATTGTGAGGTAATATATATATGAGCAAGCATCTACCGAAACTGAATATCGCATTATATTATGACATGTTTTTGCTTAATATTACAGTGACAATGGAGATAATGTGACATCACATATTCTTTCTGCTGTATCTTATTCATATTTAGCTAAGATTCATTTTCACGCGATAATAAATTGTGATTTGTAACACTAAATATTATGACTTTTTTTTCATGAAAAGTGCATATTGTATTATTATGAATATAATTATATATTATGAATATATTATATATTGTATTAACGATAATAAAAATCATGTGAAAAATTTTTTGATTATAAAATTATAAAATTTAAAATTTACTATTATAATTATAAATTTACTATTATAAAATTTACTGATTATTATAGTATAGTCCAAATTTATAAATTGTGTAATGGATATATTAATTAATATAATTAAGTAATAAATATATTTACATGATATAAAAACGTTACGTCGTGTTATTGCAACATAGGTCTTAAAGTCCTCAAAAATCTATTTTATTCGATTTATTTTATTCTATTCTATTTTATCTATTTTCTTTTGTTATTCTTTTTATTTTATCAAGTTTTTTATAATATAATTATTTTTTTTTATTTCTGATAATTCTACTTATTCAATTTTGCCAACGTAACTAAATGTAGTAAAATTTATAAAAAAAAATTATTAAAAAAGATTTTAAAAATATTTAATATTTTTTAATTTTATTATTCTTTTTTATTATTTTATTTAATATATATTTTATTAAATATATAAATAAATATAAATCTTTATTTAATTGTGAACATAGTTTATGAATCAAATTTCATTATGTTGGTTGTAATGAATTTGAAAAGTAACAACATCCGTAACAGTTGAAACGTATATATGTATAGAACATTTTATTATAAATATTATTATATCTTATGTCTAGATGAAATTGATAATTTAATAAATTTTTAATTTTAAATTAAAATTTAAAAATTAAGATAGTTGTTAATTAGTTAATTATTAATTAGTTAAAATGATTAAAGATTTTATTATTCCTATAAATAAGGATGAACTTTTACAAAGTCGGAATGGACAATATTTTGTTGAAAAAATTGTTTCAATACGAGTATTACCACAAGCTCTTGATGGTATGTTTTAAAAATTTTATGTATTTTTATATTTATTACAATAATATTGATTTTGTTCATAGAAGCTAAATCAGCACTTCAAATGAAAGGAATCAATTTTATATTAGATCATTTTGATACATTCTTCTCTTTAATTGTTCATGGAAATAAAATTGAATTACCAATTATTATGCGTGGCTTTAGTAGAATTCATAAAGGTAAAAAATATATATGTATATCATGTATATTTATTTATTTATAAATATTGTTATTTAATTTCTATATAATTAACAAAATGTTTATTTTGATTATTATTTTATAAAGCTATTGAAATATTAGTAAATGATTTGGAAAATATATTTGAAAATGGAAAAGAATTGAAAGAAGAAGATAGATTAAGATTTTTAAATATAAATAAAATGCTTACATATTTATTTTCTTGGCTTCTTTGTCATATTGATGATGAAATTTCTAAAGATGTAAATGATAAATATACAGGCAAGGTTTGTTTAATTAAAATAATTATATTTATTTTTTAATATTTTTATATTAATTCATATTAATTTATTAATATCTTATAATTTTTTTTATATTAATTATTGTTTTATATAGCGTAAGAAATCAACAAAATCAGATATAGAAGAAGAATGGGAAAATGATAGAGAAAAAGCATTAGAATATATTTATAGATTATTACAATTACCATTACAAAAACTTTGGCAACCTCCTATTGTAGAAGATTCATTTATAATGTATGTTTGATATAAACATATTAATTTTAACTTTAAAAATTATTTTAATCTTCAAAATATATAAAATAAATATGTCTTTATTTTATATTTTATATATTATATATATTTTAGATTATTCACTAAAGTATGCTATAAAGTTTTAGAACAATGTAAAGATTCAAAATGTAAACATATACGAGAAACAATTTTTGAGGTAAACTTTTATAAATTTCATTACATTATTTTTGATTGAATTAATTTTCAAATTGTTTTGATTTTAATTTATTTAAAAAAGATTTTAGGTACTTCAGTTAAAAAATATAATCATGGTATAAGCTGTGTAATAAGAATTATTCAGGTATATAAATTTTTTTTAATGAATAAAAATTTAATATAAAAAAAATCTATTGAATATATAAATTTTAGTTAGTAAAATTACATGATATATTAGCATCTCATATAGCTACTGGAATTATATATATGATTAAAAATTGTGGTTGTAATGGTTTAATAAAAGAAATAATGAAGGAGATTGATCAAAGTGAATTATCTGAACTTGATAGTCGTAATATATCAATATTTCTAGAAACTATTGCTGCTTCTGAACCAAATCTTATAATTCCTATTCTTGATGATGTGATGGATTATTTGGGTAGTGAGGTAAATTACTTTATATTAATAATCATATGTACAAATATATATAATATATATATATATATAGAATATATTTTCATTATATAATTGTGTGCTACTATTTTTAGCACTATACTATGAGAAATTGTACTATTAGTATTATATGTGAAGTTATACAAAAGGCATTGACTGGAGATGATCTTACACAAGAACAAAAAGTTCAACGTGATGAATGTCTTAATAGTTTGGAAGAACATATTCTTGATAATAATGCTTATGTCAGATCAAAAGTTTTGCAAGTTTGGCAACGTTTATGTTGTGAAGGAGCTATTCCATTAGCGAGACAAGGAAGACTTTTAGCTGCTACTGCATTACGTTTAGAAGATAAAAGTGCAAGTGTACGAAAACAAGCATTGCAATTAATGCGTGCTTTATTACAAAGCAATCCATTTGCTGCTACAGTGAGTAAAAAAAATTATATATTTAATTATTATTATTATTTTTAATTATTATTATTTAATTATATTAAATATATTTATTTATATTATTTTTTATATCAAATTATTTTTTTATATCAAATTCATAATTATATAGTTTATATTTATATAAATTATTTATATATATTTATTTATATATTAAATATATTTATAGCTAAATAAAATAGAAATATCTAAATCATTAGAAAAAGAAGAAATAAAACTTAGAAAGTTACAAACTGAAAGTGTTAGTAAAAGTGTTCGTGGTGATAATGAGAGATTAGAATTTTGGAATACTTTACTCCCAGAAATAAGAAAAGTATTAAAAGAAGTTATTAATAATGAAAAAAATATGGATACAGAGTATGGTATTGTATATATGTAAAATATATATATAAAATTTGTATTTTAATACAAAAATATACATGATTATTAATTTTTGTTTTATAAATTAGATAAAAATGAAGAAGAAGATATAAATACAGATACAGCATTTGAATATATAAGACAATTAATGTTAAAAGAAAAAATTTTTGAAGCAGTAAAATATTTATGGAAAGTTTGTATAAAACTGAAGCAAAAACCAGATATAGAAAATCTTTCTCCTGAAGCAAAAGAAGAATGTTTATTCTTATTTTTATTAAAAACATTTATGGAATCTGAAAATAATTTAAATAATATAAAAGAAAATATAGAAAAAAAACAGTCAATAGAAGAAAACAAAGAAAAAGAAGAAATAATAGCAATAAAACGAGTTATAAATTATTTGAGAGTATGTTTTTATATATTTTATATTGATTTTAATAATTACTTAGTTAAAAATTATATTATTACATTATATTACAGCATTGTTTGGAATTTGCAACTGAATTAGAAATTGCTATACCTATGACAGAAAAGTTACTTTTTTCTACTACAGCAACCGATGCTATTGAGTCATGCACTTTACTTGGAATTGCTTCTAAATTTGGCATAGTTGGGTCTGCAGTTGCTATTCGCGATGCTTTATTTCAAGTATTTCATCGCGATCAATCAGTTCGTAATAATATCGCGGTAGTATATAAAGATCTTTATTTAAATAAAAATGAGAATCAAAAATCAAAACGACAAAAAGCTCTTATATGTATGAGATCCTTAATTGATTTATTAAAAGAACTTCAACCAGGTCAAAGTCAAGCTTTAACTCAGCTTATTTTAATATGGTATAACAATAATGATATAGATAATGAAATGTTACAGGTATGAAATATATTATAATCTTAATTTCTTTTTTTATTTTATTAATTTTATTATGTTAATTTAAAAATAGCCTTTAATAATTTTATATTATAAACATATTTATAATTTATTTAATAGGTTTTATGGGAAACTTTTTCAATGAAATCACCAGACACAGATTCATTAGATAGTAGATCTGCTTTAATGTTATTAACAATGATAGCTCAAACTCAAAGTTGTATTATAAGTGATAATTTAGAAGTATTAATAAAAGTAGGATTTGGATCTAGAGCAAAAACTGATCTTTTATTAGCCAGAGATACATGTAGAGCATTGTTAACCATAAAACATAAAAATGATGATATTGAAAAATCATCTATTAGGTATATTAAATAAAAAAATATATATTTATATAAATTATATAAATAATTAATATCAGATATATTATTAGGTATCCCAATGATCATGAAATGTTTAAAGAAATTCTTTCTTTACTAATAGAAAATTTTATAAATATAGAAGAAGATGGATATATTTCATTTGCAACTGATGCAATTAATGCTATTTATCATGTAAGTATGATAACGATTTTATTTATTTAAAACAATATTTCATACTTCAAACTTCAAAACAATATTTTAATTTTTTTATTTTATTTTAGTTAGCAAATCAGCCTGATCATTTAATGAAACAAGTGCTATCACAAGTGTGTATTCGAGGACATTTTAATAATGATTCAACTCAAAATACTGTTTCACTTTTTTTACTTTCTAAATTATTATATTTGATTGGGCATATTGCAATCAAAGAAATGGTTCATTTAGATACATCAGTTTATAAAGAATTAAAACGGAGAGATATTGTACGAAATTTAAGAAAAGAAAAAAAGTCAGATAAAAATGAAAAAGATATAAATATAGTTCAGAGATCAAAAATAGAAGTTTCTACTCCAAATAGTGCAAGACAAATAATTCTCAATAAAGAAGTACATAATGATATATTTAAAGTTTATTTATATATATTTATTTATATATTATTTATATCTATTATAATTATTCTAAAATAATAATATATATTTAAAATATTAATATATATAATATATTAAAATATAAATAATCAATTTTATTATTTTTTATAGACAAGCTTAATTATGGAAGATAATGGAGAGGAAGCTGTAGAAGGAGCAACAATGGATTCAAATGCAGAATTTATAAATGAAATCCTTGAAAATCATGTTGTAACTGGAGATGGACTCTTAGTAAATTTTGTGTATGTTCATGATTTTAATATTTAATAAATATTTAAATTATTTATAATATGAATATATTCCATTTTTAACATAATATTTTATAAGTAAAGCAACATATCAAGCACAATGAGGATTAATATTTATGTTATATTTTTATTTATATAATTATATATTTAAATTTTACTTTTATAAGTAATTATTCAATTTTTTACAGTCCATTAGTGTTAGATGTATGTCAATATCATGATAAATATAATAATGAAGATATACAAGCTGCTGGAGCTCTTGCTCTTAGTAAAATGATGACAGTAAGCTCCAGTTTTTGTGAAAAATCTTTACAACTTTTAATCACAATACTAGAACGTTCACCATATCCTGGTATTCGGGCTAATGTCCTTATTGGAATAAGTGATCTTACAACAAGATTTCCAAATCAGATTG